ACACAAAGCAAGAGAAGAAAGTAGGAGAAATGCATAATATAGACAGTAAACAGAGGTGTGAGATAAAGGAATAGTAATAACGGAGAACAAAACAGTTTCATTGGAAATCATGAGTCACAAGGAGTGGATGCATCTGCACCGGCCAGCCATTGAGAACGATTTTGAGCTAGCCATGTCACCAATTGTTTCCCACCTTCATTGGTTTTTACCGTCCCGAGGACCCCAACCAGTCAAGAAGTCGACGCCTTCTTACGTGGCTTAGACTATCTGTTGTAGATTTCATTGACTGGTGCCATGTTTTGGTTTGATCACCGCTAGCTCTTTTGCAGATTGACCCTATATCAGCCAACATTGCCCACTGTCGAGGAAGGCGATGACTAGGCATACGTAACACATGTCCTAACCATCTCAGTCGATGTAATTCCACAGTCTCGTCGATTGATTTCCCCTCCCACCTACCTAGCACTCGACCGATGGCCTAACCTCAATATTGCTCACCTTATCATACCACTTCACACGGAAGATAGAACGCAGGCACCTATGATCAAAGACAGCTAGCCGGTCTTTTCATGTCTTGCACTCTCAATGACCAGGTCTCACAGCCATAGGGGAGGACGGAGCGGACTGATGAGCAGTACACACGCCCTTTGGTCCATAGTCACATAATAAAAAATGAATCAGCTTGGTGCATGGAAAATTTGCTCTTGTTAGCTAAGTTTTAACATGAAAAATTTCATAATTGATGAATGACATATACTACTGCTTTACTGATATGAGTAGTTGTTGGAAACCGCCTGCACTAACCAGTAGTGCTCGCAATCCAGATAGCTGGTTCACTGTCAAGCTCGTCAACAGTGTACGCAGTCTGACTTAGTTCAGAGCACAGAGTTTCTGTCTAACTAGTTCCCTTGAACTAGTAGTACATAGAGTAGAACTGACGATTTATAAATTTAAAAAATAATTCAAGCAAATCACATATTATGACTTAATTTTTTCAGTTTCCAATGGAAACTGCAGTGAAAATCCCACCTTGAGCTGCGTAATTAAAAAATAATGATTTTTATTTGGTCGAATATAGAACTTTTTTTCCTTCACGTTCCCCAGTGGAACATAGGGCTTCAGGCTAGTGGCTTGAAGTGTCTGTAGCAGTGTTTATTTTACAGGATGAGGTTGCTAGCCTCATGCCCAACCTTTCCTTTTTACCAGCAATATTTGTGGCTTAGCGAGGTAAAGGAGTGCGCCTGTGGCCGGGAATCGAACCCCAGACCATGTGCATGGTCAGTGAGCGTCCTAACCGCTATGCCACCGACGCACTTTGGTCGAATATAGAACTACAAATTACCTTTTAGTCACTGAGGTGAAAGACAGTGGGGTGATTCATTATTTGGATTAGAATTTAACTCATGAACTTTAGAAGTTCTAGCAGTATTTGTTTTTAATTATTGATTTTATAAGTGATAATTGGGAGTATAATGGATACTCTAATTAATAGAGTAACACTGTTACGGTTAACCGTAGCGTATAACATCAGTAGCAATCTGCCAGGTCAAAGCCATCTCATATTATTTGTTTATGTTCCCTGCTGATCGATTATATCAGACCGGAATGTTTGACCACTGTTAACAGATCGACTTCTAGTACGAACTTTTCTATGATGTTTGAGGATTAACTTGATGTTATTCCGGTCGGTGGTGACTGGTGTATTTCCTTATATGTTTGAGTTTAGTTAGATGAGTACGTTTGTATACCCATTGAGTGATGATAGTATTTGCACCGAGACTCGAACATATTATCTATCCTTCCAAACATTAGAGTGTTATCCACCGGACTACTTGGCTACTGGAATCACCTTTTGTGCAATGGGCCTCTGTTCTTATTTGATTAAGTTAGTTTGTGTTCCCATCAAGCGCCTGATTTGTGTGTTCAGAAAGAAGTGGTTATCAGTCTTTCTTTGCCCTGATAACTGTATATTTTTCATCCGAATGCGAGATGCTGAAAAGTTTTCATTGTGTATGATTATTAATGTTCGGAATAGTGTTTGATACTGCATACATATATGTGTATGTGCGTCGGTGGCACAGTGGTTAGGACTCTCGCCGACCATGCCCATGGTCCGAGGTTCGATCCCCTGCCGACGCACACCTGATATCTATAGTCGGCCTGCAAAATTTGGGCTACCGAAATCCATGCTGAAAATTCCATACTTGTAATGAAAATACGGTGTGGCATCAAGCTGTAATCAAAATAAAAATAAAAAATAGGTACATTGAGCCGACAAGTATCAAAAAAGGCGAAGTGCACACCTTGAATCCCACTGCCAGTCACCGCCCATCAACCAAATAGGTACCTAAGGTTTTTGAAATAATTCAAGATAACTTGCTTTTAATGGAATTATACAAAATTTATGTTTTGGAAGTATTTATAACACTAATTTCCGGGCTGCTGACTCATTAGCTGTATTGACTGGATTATGAGACGCTGTCATTGACGCTGCTTTAGCTAACGGTAAGGCACTAGCTGGGCAGTTAATACTCAATTCCATACATTTCCATACGGAACTTGTTATTTGCGATTATAATACTAATACAATACACATATCAAAAGTCAACTAAAATTCCTGACCACTAAGGTCCACCAGGTTGCCTACGAAGGCAAATGCCCTCCAATGCGACGAACCGATGGTGACTTTGTATGTTGCTAAACTGGCAGGATTTAGAATTCGTTGGACATATGATAATTCTGTCGTAGTGGCTGAGTGACCAGTGGCCTCGCATAATAGCCCAAAGATTCACTGGTTTGGTCATGTATGCGTACTGCCAAGTAAATCCAAACTAGACAGATTTAGATATCAAGTAACCTCTGGTTTTCAATGGTTCTCTTAAGCGGTATCAGTTCATATTTTGCATACAAAAACATTCAATTGAAATGATGATAATAGAGTTTTCTGACAAAATTGCAACTCTACGCATCATCATCACAGAACAAAGCATGGAATAGCAATCAAACATATACCTCAAATTTATAGACTTTGAGAAGGCCCTCGACAGCGTTCATCGCGAAGTAATTTGGAAACTACTCGAGTACTACGGCGTACCGCAAATATTCATCAACCTTATTCAACAGCTGTACGACAACGGAACATGTCAAGTGATCCACAACGGAAAACTCAGTGAGGCGTTTCGAGTAAACACAGGAGTCAGACAAGGGTCTCATTATTATCAATGATATTCTTAAGTGCGGTGGACTGGATTATGTGTCAGACAGTGCTAGGAAACGAGAAGACAGGGATATCCTGGACCACCAACGTGAACAACCTAGAAGACCTGGATTTCGCGCGTGGATGATTTATGTTTGATGTCACACAAAATCGAAGACTTACAAGCGAAAACCGATCAACAAACTGGTTGAAGAAGCAGCCAGACATGACAGGACTCCAGGTGAACATAGACAAGACGGAGGTTATGAAAATAACCAACCAACCAACCACCACCACCACCAACAACAGCAGCATCAGCAACATCCAGCGCCAATCACCATCAACGTGAGGGATTTGAAAGAGGTTACTTCATTCAATTATCTAGGGAGGGAGCATTGTCTCAACTACAGGAGGAGCGGACGGACGAGGATGTCAAATCGAGAATCGGGAAGGCGAGAAACACATTCATCAACCTGAAACCAACCAATCTGGAAATCTTCCGCTGTCACTCAAATCAGCCTACATCAACAACAAAATGATTCAGATTTTCAATACAAACGTCAAGTCAGTCAGTCAGTTCTTCTTTACGGACGGATCAGAAACTTGGTGGCGGGTCACAAAGAATATTTCCAACAGCCTGTTGCAGACCTCTATCAACAACAACTGTCTTCGCTGGCTCTATACTGGAGATCAGATGGCCGCCGGAAAGAACAAGAACCAACAAGAAACTATGGGAACAATCAAACAAAACAAGAAGCAATCGCTCAACAAATATGCAGGAGAAGGTGAAGATGGATTGGACACTCACTGGCTGAGGAGGTGGCTGGGTGACATCGCGCGTCAGGCCAAAGCTCGAGTAGAACCCGAAAGGGAAGTGGCGAGTGGGACGTCGGTGCAATGGTGACATGGAGGAGAGCGTGTGGAGAAGAGTTGAAACAGTATGGATTAACTTGGAGGTATTTGAGAAGTACAGCAGAATGCAGAGGGAAGCGGAGGCGTGCAGTTGAAGCCCTATTTTCCACTGGGAACCCAAGGGAACAGTGATAATGTAATAATAATAAGTAATGATTTATGACAGTGTGCATATATGACTGCACTTAATGGCTTATTTAGTCGGTCCTCTCCTAGTTCGAATCCTGAATAATGTGTGAAACCAGAAAGATTGTATACCCAAAGTCACAAAACTGATGATTAGTCATGGATTAAGGTGAGGCAGTGTACCTGCTTATGTTTGAAATTAGTTCTGGCAAGGAATAAATATGACAGTTTGAATAGGATAGTACTGGTGTGGTGAGAGCTGGCTGCTAGGCAAACTTGGTAGATAGTAATTGACGTCAAGGTTTATGTCCCCAATATTGGTGGTGAGAAAAGGATGAGAACAAAGGCTTTGCGTAGGCGGATAAAGTTAGCATATGGATGAACTGACACAGCCATAAAGAGATGCAAGGTTAACTTTCTGTGAGAAACAACCAATCGAAAGACTGTATTTTCTCCTAACAATAATCTACAATAATGTACATTAAAATCTATAAATATGTGTTGATTTTCCTTAACAAACGATCTGTTGCCTGGCCCTTGTCTTCTGTTTTTACACTAGGAGATTATCTTTGTCGGTTCATGGGTATCGGGACAGCGTAGGTCCCATCCAAACAGTCTTCATTCTTCAGCATTGAAATCATCTGTAAAAGTGACTATTTTCGAGCGCTTTACTTTCCTTTTGTGTATATATATGGTGCTACATTTGAAAATTGAAATTTACTACTCATTTTCACCCTCTTTCTTTCGTTTTTCTACTTTTTTTCAGAAAAGACTATCAGATGTAGAATTAAAGCTTCAATTACTGAATTCTTTACCGAATAATAAAGAAATTATTGATTCAATTTTGAATGAAAACACTGAAAAGCCTGTAAAGACAACAAACAATAATCTTAATAATAATAATAATAATGAGAAACACAGCGATTTACAAACTGACTCAGGTGTACCACGAAAAGTTACTAATCTATGGCAAACTGTACAAACCAATAAACGGTTGGATGCTACAGAAGAAGGTCTTCATAGAGTGAGTAAGCTGGATATTTTTTGTATGCATGTACATGTAATGACGTATGTTTATTTGCATGTGTATGTGTGTCATCCGTAATAGAGGTCATCCATAGTGGCAATTAAAAGAGGTCTTCCAGGATAGAATTCGTGTTTCTTGTTCCTAGATTTTATTTATACTTACAGTTTCTTCTTCCACATGTTTCTTTGGATAAATCCGGGTTAGTTTCGCATATGTCAATTAACGCCGTCTCTGGCACAGACGCGATATCCGACTATCGACCAAAGGGCGTGTGTACTGCTCATCAGTCCGCTCCGTCCTCCTTTATGGCTAGCTGTGAGACTTGGCCATTGAGAGTGGAAGACATGAAAAGATTATCTGTCTTTGACCATAGGTGCCTGCGTTCTATCTCCTGCGTGAAGTGGTATAATAAGGTGAGTAATACTGAGGTTGGGCCATCGGTCGAGTGCTAGTTGGTAAGGAGGGGAAATCAATCGACGAGACTGTGAAATTACATCGACTGAGATGGTTAGGACATGTGTTACGTATGCATGCCTAGTCATCGCCTTCCTCGACAATGGGCAATGTTAGCTGATATAGGGTCAGGCTGGAAAAGAGCTAGCTAGTGGCGGTCAAACCAAAACATGGCCTCATCAGTCAATGAAATCTACAACAGTTAGTCTAAGCCAGCCACGTAGGATGGTGTAGACTTCCTGACTGACTGGTTGGGGTCCTCGGGACGGTACAAACCAATGGTTGGAAACAATTGGTGACATGGCTAGCTCAAACTCATCGTTCTCAATGGCTGGCTGGCGCAGATGCATCCACTCCTTGTGACTTATGATTTCCAATGAAACTGTTTTGTTCTTCGTTATTACTATACCTTTGTCTCATACCTCTGTTTACTGTCTTTATTATGCATGTGGCGACTTGAACTGCCGCACATATATGCAAAGTTCTATGTCGAAAACAGACAGACAGACAGTTGTTATATTTAATAGAATAAATGTTTCACTAGCCTGCTGAGTAGAACAGAATCCCGAAATTAGGACTAATGTACTGTTAGATTAAAGGCTGAGTTCTGAGACAGAAAATTCACCACTCACGCCTTTATGTTCATTTCGGATTTCATATATTTTTAACGTTTTCAAACGAAACAATTCTTTACTGATTTGATTCGTGTTCTATGTATTCTAAGTCTCCTTGAATTGAATATCCTTCAGGAATTTCGACTGAAAACAAAATTGATGTAGTCTATAACAAAATACAATGAAATCTTTGTGTAGAAATTGCATTTTGTGTTCTCCTCAACTAGAACCATAGTTCCATTATCTCATTGGATGGAAATAGACTTCAACAGAATTTGAAAATTAAGAATTAAGAATTTTTTATGCTCAAAACAGAATCTGTTACATAGGTTAAAATAATTAGTCAGTTGTCGAATTTAGACGGAAGTCAAAGGGAACTGGACAGCTGATTCGTCGGAGATGTAAATTTTTTCTACTGGTTAAGCGTATGTCCCAAAAAAGACCCGGTGTAATAATGTTGAACTCTACGGTAATCACCTAATTCTAAGCCAGCTGATATAAATGCAGTGGTTCATAATTTTAGTTTGAATAAAGCGAAAACGACAAATTTGCAAGGATAATATGACCTCATATTTTATTATTTCGAGGATTCTTCTCAACTGGTTACATACAACCTGAATAATACGAACTAGGATGAAACAGCTGTCTAGCAATCCCTGGTTTTCAATGGTTCTCCAACTGATATCAATCCTGAGGTGAAGTCAGTTAGAGAACCACTGGTAAACCAGCTGGGAGTACTGGACAGCTGTTTCGTCAGCTTAGTTTGAAACTCTTCATCGGTACGCACCCACCGGGGTTCGAACCCATGACCTTCTGGTTACAAGGCGAACTCGTAGACCATTGAGCCGCTGGGACCCAATCCAGTGGTCCTTGAATTCTAACTTCTGCCAATTCACGACATAGCGCCAGCGTTTCGCAATGTCTTCTTAGATGAGTTACTGCCTCATCTTTAACCTGTTCTATCCTGCTGGTCACGGCTTCCCACTAGAACCCCAGGTTAACTTCCTGAATAGAGTCAGTCCCTAGTGAGCATCAAATTAATTTTCAAGTATTGGTTTTGTAGGGATTTTGTTTGATCGCATGTAGGATTTCATCATGAGCTGATATCAGTTAGAGAACCATTGGAAAACCTGGAAGTACTGGACAGGTGTTTCATCCTAGTTTGGGACTCTTCATCAGTGCGCATCCACCGGGGTTCGAACCCAGGACCTTCTGGGTTTCAGTTCCACTCGAGCACTGGCCTAATGCGCGATGTCACCCAGCCGCCTCCTCAGCCAGTGTCCAATCCATCTCCACTTTCTCCTGCATATTTTGTTGAGTGATTGTTTCTAGTTTTGTTTCTTCCCATAGTTTCTTGTTGGTTCTTGTTCTTTCCGGCGGCCATCTGATCTCCAGTATAGAGCCAGCGAAGACAGTTGTTGTTGATAGAGGTCTGCAACAGGCTGTTGGAAATATTCCTTGTGACCCGCCGCCAACTTTCTGATCCATCCGTATAGAAGAACTGACTGACTGACTTGACGTTTGTATTGAAAATCGGAATCATTTTGTTGTTGATGCAGGCTGAGTTGAGTGATAGCGGAAGATTTCCAGATTGGTTGATGTCAGGATGATGAATGTGTTTCTCGCCTTCCCGATTGTCGATTTGACATTGTCGTCCGTTCCGACTGCCTGTAGTTGAGACAATGCTCCCTCCCTAGATAAGTGACTGAAGTAACCTCTTTCAAATCCCTCCCGTTGATGGTGATTGGCGCTGGATGTTGGGAAACAGATTTATTTTCATAACCTCCGTGTTGTCTATGTTCACCTGGAGTCCTGTCTTCACCGGCTGCTTCTTCGACCAGTTTGTTGGTCGATTTTCGCTTGTAAGTCTTCGATTTTGTGTGACATCAAACACAAATCATCCACGCGCGAAATCCAGGTCTTCTAGATTCTTCACGTCGGTTCAGGATATCCCTGTCTTCTCGTTTCCTATCACTGTTTGACGCATAATCCAGTCCACCAGCACAATTAGGAATATCATTGGTGACAGTAATAAGCACCCTTATCTGACTCCTGTGTTTACTCGAAACGCCTCGCTGAGTTTTCCGTTGTTGATCACTTGACATGTGCCGTTGCCAAATATTTACTTGAAATGAATTGAAATTTGAAAAATTCATCTTTTGGAAAGTAAACTAGACTGACAGACTGACTACAGTAATAACCACTGCTCGTAGTGTATGAGTGATCTCTCTACACCATCTATGATTAGTCAATTTAAAAATGTGAAAATCAATATTTGCTATCATGTCACAATAAGAAGTGATCATTATTATATAGTTGGAGGCGATTGGCAGGAAGCCTTTGACCTAGGTTTCGTGCTAGTTGGCACTCATCAGCAAGGCGTATCTGCTGCCTTGAAGGAACTGATGTCCCTTCTGAGATTCGAACCCGCGTCACCCAGAGCTGCAGTTATAGACGTTACCACTGAGCTATTCGGGCTCGCCATTGACCTCCTGTAGGACTGTAGTGGGTATTTGGATTGGACACTAGTAACTAGTGTGACGTGTCTAGTCCTTTCTTTGGTGCAGACTGCAGCACTGGGTGACGCGGGCTCGAATCCCAGCAGGGACATGAGTTCCTTCAAGGTTGCAGATACGCCTTGCTGATGAGTGCCAACTAGCACGAAACCTAGGTCAAGCAGGACTTCCTGTCGATCACCTCCAACTATCTAATATCATCAAATCAATGTGCACCATGATGGTGAGCTACCTAGAATGGTGGCCACATTACAGAACCTGATTGATAGAATTCAGTCTGCACCAAACATAGGACTAGACACGTCACACCAATTACTAGTGTCCAATCTAAGTGAACATTATATCAAATATCCTTTCATAGTTTTACTAATAATAATGAAAAGAGGTGTATTAGGGCATAATTAATCTAATTTTCACTAATAATTGAAAAAAATACTAAAAAGAGCCTCAAATTATCTTCACAGTTTGCTTTACAAAGTGCAAATGATTCCAACTTTATAAAAAAAGTACACCATAACGAAAGTTAAGAACGAGAGATTTTTGAGTATATTTTAAGTCAATATTTTTTCACCTAATGCCTAGTGAGTGAGACAAGATAAATGAAGACCTGAGAAGGATTCCCACTGGAGACTTCCACAGTGAAATGCTGGATGAGTGAGTATATCTGGAGGTCTGCCTGGAAGGTATCCTGCTATAACCCAGTCTTCCGCTTCATCTTTAGCCATTATCACCTAGTAAATCACTGGGGGTCTCAAAATACCAATGTGATATAAATTAAAAAAAGAGACATAGATGTCAGCAAAGAGAATATTATTTCTATAGCTTCAGTTCAAATCTGTAAAGTGCTCTAAAAAGAGTCATTTGGGTTCCACTTGAGGTTCTGTTACGTAATATTATGCAACACTATCCTTAGATTATGACCAATCTGTCTCTATTCTCTTCCGCATTTTTGTTGGACGATAGGTTGTCAGTTGCTTTATTTTTCAGAGTTCCTCGTTTCAGTGTCCTCTTTTCAGTATCGAGCTGGTCAAAGGGGTAGCTATTGATGAAATGCTGTAGTAGCCTTTGGTATATGCTTTAGGTGACATGTAAGCCGAATTTCTAAAAATCATATGGAATCACTGACTCGACATTAATATTGAAAAAAAGTTGAATCTTGTTCCGTATGCTGAGTGCAGCAGACTTTTATACCGATTTCTAAGCAATGATAGTCTATGTTGCTTTACTAATTAATCATGGTTGTCTTTGACTTCGTCATCCATATTGTCTGAGTGAAGTTGAAACAATGCTACTTAGCCAGATTATTGAGAGAGATTTCTTTCAAAAGAATGGACACGGAACAAAGAGTACTCTTTTCGATAACCTCTTCATCATCAGACTCAACAATTATATATACATTATAATGAATGAATGA